GCTTTACCACATTGATTACATTCATAGGGTTTTTCTCCAGTATGTGTTCTTTTATGTCTTTGAAGATAACTGCTATGTGCAAAAGCTTTACCACATTGATTACATTCATAGGGTTTTTCTCCAGTATGTGTTCTTTCATGCCTTTGAAGGGTATTATGTTGAGCAAAAGCTCTGCCACACTGATTACATTCATAGGGTTTCTCTCCAGTATGTGATCTTTTATGTACTTGAAGATAACTGCTATGTGCAAAAGCTTTACCACATTGATTACATTGATAGGGTTTCTCTCCAGTATGTGTTCTTTTATGTACTTGAAGATGACTGGGCCATACAAAGGCTTTACCACACTGATTACATTCATAGGGTTTCTCTCCAGTATGTGTTCTTTTATGTCCATAAAGATGACTGGGCTGTGCAAAGGCTTTACCACATTGATTACATTGATAGGGTTTCTCTCCAGTATGTGTTCTTTTATGTACTTGAAGATGACTGGGCCATGCAAAGGCTTTACTGCACTGAATATATTTATAGGGTTTCTCTCCAATATGTGTTCTTTTATGTACTTGAAGATGACTGGGACATTCAAAGGCTTTACGGCAATGAATACATTCATAGGGTTTCTCTCCAGTATGTGTTCTTTCATGCCTTTGAAGAGTAAAGTGTTGAGCAAAAGCTCTGCCACACTGATTACCATTCATAGGGTTTCTCTTCAGTATGTGTTCTTTCATGCAATTGAAGGGCACTGTTATGAGCAAAGGCTTTACCACATTGATTATATTCATAGGGTTTCTCCCCTGTATGTGTTCTTCTATTCAATTGAAGAACTTTCCAATAAGCAAAGGTTTTGCCACATTGATTACATCTATAAGGTTTTTTAACCATGTGTGTTGTTTCATGCCTTTGAAGATTACTGTGTTGTGCAAAGGTTTTACTACATTGATTATAGTCATAGGATTTCTCTCCAGCTTGTGTTTTTTCATGTCTTTGAGGATGACTATGACATACAAAGGCTTTACCACACCCTATATATTCATAGGATTTCTCTGTGGTATGAGGTCTTTCATGCCTTCCATGTTTTAGAGACTTTTGACAATGTTCTTCAACTTCAAGATCTTCCCAATTGTAACCTATAGCTGTGAGGTTCATATAGGTCTCCACCATCACATCTTTGTAGAGATTCCTCTGTGAAGGATCCATCAATGCCCATTCTTCCTGAGTGATGTTGACATGCACATCATTATAGGTCACTGCATTCTTGTCAGGGGTTCCTAGGTCAGCCATGCTTTCTGCTCAACTCCCTGCAGCAGGGCTCACAGCACAGCACACAAAGCCAATAGCACCAGCTCTTCTTTGAATTCTTTAATGGAATTTTTCATTTTCTTTTTAAAGGTGTAATTCAAATAAAATTTTATAATTAATTTAATTTTACATGGATTCCCCTGTCCGCCCTCCTCCCCCCAACTCCTCCCCCCATTTCTACCTCCTCCAAGTCAAGGATTCTCCTGGGGATTCAGCTCAGCCTGGTAGATTCAGTCGAGGCAGGTCCAGTCTCCTCCTCCCTTCACCCAGGCTGAGCAAAGTGCCCCGGCGTAGGCCCTAGGTTCCAAAAAGCCAGCTCATGCACTAGGGACAGGTCCTGGTCCTACTGCCTGGGGGGCCTCCTAAATAGTTCAAGCTAATTGACTGTCTCACTTATCAGAGGGCCTGATCCAATTCCATGAGGGCTCCTCAGCTATTGGTTCATAATTCGTGTGTTTCCACTAGTTTGGCTATTTGTCCCTGTGCTTTTTCCAATCATGGTCTCAACAATTCTTGCTCATACAATCCCTCCTCTCTCTTGCCGATTGGACATCTGGAGCTCCACCTGGGGCCTGGCCATGGATCTCTGCATCTGCTTCCATCAGCCATTGGATGAGAGTTCTATCATGACAGGGTGTTTGGCCATCCAATCACCAGAGTAGGTCAGTTTGGGCTTTCTCTCGACCATTGCCAGTAGTCTATTGTGAAAGTATCTTTGGATTTCTGGGGACCCCTTTAGCACTTTGCTTTTTCTTATTCCCATGAGGTCTTCATTTATCATGGTATCTCTTTCCTTGTTCTCCCTCTCTGTTCTAGTCCAACTGGGATCTCCCACTCCCCCAATCTCTCTGTCCCCTGACCCTTGCCCTTCATCACCCCCATGTCCAGTTTGCTCATGTAGATCTCATCCATTTCTCTGTTGTTGGGCAATCCCTGTGTCTTTCTTAGGGTCTTCCTTACTAGGTAGCCTCTCTGGAGTTGTGAGTAGCAGTCTAGTCATCTTAGGGTTATTTTTAAGGTCGATTTCATCTGTTTCTTCTGCTTTGTGATGTTCAGGTCTTGCGGATGTAGCACCACTAGGTTCTGTTGGTGCCATATTGTTTTTTATGTTGTTGAATGTATTTTTGCACTGGCATGTACCCATATCTTTGTTCACTCTGTGCAAGTTTTATCTGTGTCTGAGGGATCATCTTTTGGTCCAAATGATACTCTTGGTCTAATGGGAGCTCTTGATCTAATCTGGGCTCTTGGTCCAATCTGTTCTGATGGATTCTGTTTCTCTGGGAGCAGATCTTAGTCTAGTGAGCACCAGAAGGCTCTGTCTCAGAGAACAGCTATTCCCAATTGGTGCAGAGTGGGACCTGCTTTCCGTTCCCAATTGGTGCATGGTGGGCTTATGTCTCTGTTTTTCACTGGTGTCACAGGGGTGTGTTTTCTCAGTGAGGGGCAGGGGAAGAGGCAGCTGGATGGTCTCTAGGGCTCCAATGGCTTGGGGGAGGGGCACAGGGTGTGCCCCAGTGGCTTAGGGGATAGGGACCTAGTCTACACAGTCTGAGATGAGGCCTTACCTGTTTCCAATTAATTGGTCCAGGGTGGGCTTATGGCTCCAGTGGTCACTAGTGCCACAGGGGATGGTTGTCTTGGTGAGGGGGTGGGACTCTAGGATCCTTTTTTGTGCTTTGTCAGGTTTTATGGGGGAAATTTCAGCCACACCTTGTAATATTATATATAAAGGGACATTACCTATCCCAACTGCCTACTCCCAAAGAACCGACTTGGAGGCTGAATATGAGTTATAAATGTTCAATTGATAGTTTAGGCTTGTTATCAGTTCATTCTTACATTTAAATTAACCATTTCTATTAATCTATGTAATGCCATGTGGCTTGTGGCTCTACCTGTCTTCTAGCATGTTTTGCTTCCTGGGTAGCTGGCTGGCATCTCTCCTGACTCCACTCTTCTTCATCCTATCATTCTCAGTTTCTTTTTCCCATATAACTTGCTGCCCAGCTACCTGCCTGTCAGCATTTTATTAACCAATGTGAGTAATACACATTCATAGTGTAGAAAAGGATTGCTCCGCAGCAAACACCATTGTAGATCAAAGGATTTGTGGCTGGCTTCATGTTTCCATTTCTCTTTTGATAGTGTGCAAAGTACACTCTTGTAACAAAGATGCTGGAAAGTAGGGATGAAAACTCTATGTAGTCTTCAGCTGAGCATCTCCGTGTTCAATGAGTTATAAAGGTATAAAGGCTGCATTGTTAGGAGTTCCCATGAGATCTCTTTGGCCAATAACTCAGTTAGGTGTAAACTAATCTCAGTAATAGAAAATTCCTTTGGTGACAAGAGATGGCCATTTGCAATACCATATCCCCCATTATTAGGTTATATTGTTTAGATGGTCCTTATACACACACACACACACACACACACACACACACACACACACACACACAAACACACACACACAATGTATACATACATACATACATACATATATCTGTGTGTATTAATTCTTATAAATAAAGAGATTACTACTATACTAGGTTGCATATGTTTCCTCAAATGTCCCTTAATTTTAGCTGTATCTCCTCAAAGTCCCTCCTCCCAGTCTCTCTCCTTTCACCCTCCCCACTTGATCCTACCATTGCAGCACTTAACTATTCATCTATAACTTGCCCTCTATGTTTAGATTTTTTAATAATTATTTCATTCTGTAGGCACTTCCTTCCATGATTCAGCCTGTTTGGTGTTCTGTATGCTTCTTTTACTTTGATAGGCATCTCCTTCTTTAGGTTAGAGAAATTTTTTTTGTAGAAAATATTTTCTGTGCCTTTGACCTGGGTTTTCATCTTCTTCCTCTTTTCTTATTATTACACTTGTTCTTTTTGTAGTTTCTCAGATATCCTGAATGTTTTGTGATGGGTATTTTTTTTTTTAGATTTAACCCTTTCTTTGACAAATGTATCCATTTCTTCTATTTTTTTGTTCAATGCCTGAGAGTCTCTCATCTATTTCTTGTATTGTATTCATGAAGCTCACATATGAGGTTCCTGTTTGAGTTCCTAAGTTTTTCTTTTTCAGATTTCCTTCAATTCGAGTTTTCTTGATTGGTTTTATTTCTACTTTCAGGTCTTGAATGATTTATTCATTTCCTTCCACTACTTGTGTTTTCATAGATTTCTTTATGATATTTACTCTTTTCCTCTTTAAGGACCTCTATCATCTCCATACAAGCTATTTTAGGGTCAGTTTCTTATTCTGTATCTATGGTAGAATATGCAGGGCCTGTTCTAGTATGGTTTCTGGGCTCTAGTGAAAACATACTGTCCTGGATGTTATTGACTGTGCTCTTAGGTTGGCATCTAGGCATCTGGGATTGGGAAAATTATAATTCTACATGCTGAGATCTGGTCTTGTCTTTGTTGGGTTCATGCTTCCTTCCTTATTTTTGTTGCTCTGTCTGGTACTTAGGAGAGTGTGGTGGCTGTGTGTTGCCAACTATGAAATTCTTCTGGGATCCTGATAAGTGTGGTCACTGGGGATTCTAGGTAAAATGTTTCCAGATATAGAAAGCTAAAACTTAGGAATGGGGATGGTCTACGAGCGGGTCATAAGAAATTCCACAGGAGGGAAGGGAGCAGAGTTTTCCACAGAAGCTGCTTAGTTAGTCACCTGAGAATGGGGCCACTGAGTGAGGTCAGGCCACAGCAGAAGGTTCGATATAAAGCTGTGAATGAGACTGAGGAATGGACTTGGAAGAATGGAGGGAGAGATGAAGATCTGCAGTTAGCTTATTTGCTTTCCTGGTTAGAGTGGCCTGCAGGTGCTTAGGGAGTGTCCTCTGGATTTTAGGATTTGCTAGGACAAAACAGTGAGTAAGGAGAATGAACTTTGGAACTTGAGACTTGTGTTATCCATGTGAAACAAGGGCATTTGGTGGAGGAAGACTGTAGCAGGTGTTCTACATAGAGCTGAGAAGAAGACTAGGAGACTGGATTTGAATGAACAAAGAGAGATGTGAAGATCTGCATTTAGCCTAACTGCTTCCATGCCCAGCTTGGTCTTTGGGTTCGTAGGGAATGCTTGATGGAGTTGAGGTGTGGAACAAATCAATGCATTGGTGTTGGGGTGTTAGGAGGGGTCTGGAAGATCCACTAGGGATGTGGGTGGCTGAGGCAGGTGTTCTGCTACAGAGCTGGGGGTAACCCTGGGGGATTAGACTTAAAGGAAGGAGGGGGAGGTGAAGATCTGTAGTTGGCTTACCTCCACCCTGGCCAGAATGGTCTTTGGTTTCACAATGAGGGCCTGTTGGAGTTGGATGTTGGGATAGTGCAATGAATTGCAGCACTAAGGTTAGAAGATCTGTGGAATCCACTCTAGGTGTGTGTGTGGGTGGGTCACCACAGATTTTCTGTGGCATAACTGGGCATGAGACTGAGGAATTGGATCTGGAGGAGCACAGTGAAAGATAAATATCTACAATCAGCCTATCTGCTTCCCTGGCAGGAGTCAAAAAATGTTTTTTAATGAAAAACATTAAGGAGCGTCAAAAACAAGACAATTAGATTATTCAAAAGGAATTTGATCTCTTAATGGTATTATGCAGGAATAGTTTCCATATAAGTAGCAATACAAAAGACTCTTTTGTCTTCTGTAAAATCTTTTACTTTCTCATCATAAAATTCAATATTCCCCAGGAAGCTTCCTTACTAAGATGTCTCTGCTGCATGGTAGTGCGGTTTCCCATGAGTTTTCTGTCCAACCATTCAACACATTTTTTTTCTGTTATTGCCATGGATTTTACCTTCCCATGAAATATTAACTGAATCTGTGATAAAATATGTAAAAGTTTTCAGACAATAATACCTTTAGGCCTCCCGAAAAAGAGCTGGAATTCAAAGCAAAATCCAAGACTGCACCTTCTTGTGACTATTTCTTATTAAACCAGGTGTGGTAGTTCACAATTGTAATTCCAGAACATGGGTATCTGAAGCAGGAAGACTGTGAATTTGATGCCCTTCT